TAATCTACTCTTTCTTTGCTTATCCTACCGGTTGTATTAGGTAATTGATTTCTTTGCCTTAATTTAAAATTGACAGGTTTCTTACTTGTTTACTTTTGTAAAAAAAAAATAAAAAAATAAAAAAATAAAATAATAATATTGTTTTTTCAAATATGATTTCGGCTGTTTTGAAATAAAGAATTTTTTTATTCGAAAATTAATTGATTTCTTACTTGATTATTTATGGTAGAATAATATCTTTATGATTTTGGCTCCTCTTTATTTAAAGAGAAATATATTTTTCTCTATTAATTTATTCTTACTTGTTTATATTTGGTAGTGAAATATTTTAAAATTTTCTGATTTGGTCCTCTTTTAAAATAAGGAAAACAATATATTTAATTGATTCCTTTAAATATTTCTTTTCCTTATTTGTTTCCCCCTCTTTGCTATATAAAAAAGACCCCCTCCCTTCATTATTTCATCAACTCATACAATCATTCACTCTCAATCACAAGTTCTCTCATCACTCTTCATTCTCTCATTACTCTCTTGCTACTCTAAATACATTAAGATTTCGGTAAACATTCAAGTGCTCTTCTTTGCTACTTTGCTATTTTGCTTTTGTTCGAGTAAAGGTTGGATCAACTGGTTTTTTATTGCTACCATTCCTAATTTACTTAACCGGTTAGTATTCGGAATTAACATTTAAATTATTTTTGTATTTATACATTTGTGTGAGCTCATTGTTCTATTCCTTTGTTATGTATAAGTTGTTAAACAATTGCATAATGTCTCACCTTGACTAATATGTGATTACTTGTGTAGTTATTTGATTGCTTTGACAGGTTTCAAACGTGAAGTTCAAGTTGAAGATTAACCATGAAGAAAGACTTATTTGCTTATTTGAATCTACATTTTTTCTTTCTTATTTTATTTATTCGAATGTTGTAACATTTGTAACTCTAAAGATCATATATATAAATTTATTTGGGGGATCGTCTAGTGGAGGGGGATTTACATGCCTACATGTTCATTATAATTTTTTTAAAAAAAACATAGAAATCAGGCCTATAAGTTTGTCTTTAACACCTAGAATTATTGTTTGTAGGTGTTATAATATAATCAATTTTCAATTTGCTTGACGCTTTTGTTAATAAGTCTTTAAAAAAATAAAAAATAACTAGATTCCATTAATTTTTGAATGTTAAAATCAAATCGTAATAATTTAGTAGGCTGATTAGATGTTTAAAAATGTTATAACTTTTTTAGCATTGTCTTGTCTCGTAGAAATCATGTCTAAGGATTAAACTATTCATATCATTTAGATTTACAAAATCATGCATATATGTGTTACTCTGTTTTTTTTTTGAACACCTAGAAACCATGTCAATAGGCTTAAAATTTTAGCATATCCATAATAAAAATAAAATTTGTTTGTGAATATTTGTGCCCTCCCCCTAATATTAGTTAGTATTATTTAATTAGTAATCACATTTGTCTTCTTCAAGATTTCTGCATTCATGATGCAATATGTTATTTTTAAAAAATAATAGTGATAATAAATTGAAATCATTTCATGCATTTAACAAACTAATTGGCTTTTGAATATTTCATATCAAAACCTTTGCATTTAAAAAATTTACCACCTTTATTGTTCTACTAGTTTTTTGTTTACTTACAAAGTTTTGCAATATAATTTTCTTAAAAGTCATTATTCAATCTTCCTTTAAAATTTTTGATTGATTATGACATTGTTTATTTTGAAAATAAATTATAAGCACTATCTCCTAACCTATCGTTAGAGGGAAAGTCAAAGGAATTACGAGGTCTAGTTCCAATTTTAAATCCCGACGCATCCCCGGAAGTACCACCTACCCATGAATTTCAAAAGGAATTATGTGTATTTATGTCCCTACATGTAAACTAAAATCTTTTAAATCATTTTAAAAAACATAAACTATTTTTTAGACCGACATCAAATCAAAATTGTTTCTATGGTAGAGGAGCGCGATCAACAATATCGTGGCATCATCCCTATAAAGAAACAAACATTTTTTTAAAATAAAATTTCCTACTCAAAACTTATCAATTTTCAAACTTTACTTTCACACATACTAATCGTTTAATTTTTGCCAATTTTGTTTATAACATAGTCTCATATGCTTAAATAAAAATAAAACTTGATTGTTTATTGCTATCACCTAGCCTTGCACGCTCAAATTAATGAAAAATAATAAAATAGTATTAATTGTTTTTATATATGTTATCACTTAGCAAGATTAAATAAATTAAAAAATCAAGTGACCTTGATTGCTAATTGTAACCCTCACATAGATTGTATGAGATATGACCGGGACCCACACTTGTGGACCTCGAGGGACGCCTAACACCTTCCCCTCGAGGTAATTTGAACCCTTACCCTAATCGCTGACTCGTTGACCTTAGTTAGACTTAGTTAGGTTAGATAGGTGCCCTAACGCGCCTTAATTCGTTAGGTGGTGACTCCAAACTCGAAATCCCAAAAGAGTTGTTAGGTCGTGCATAAAACCCGTTTTCTGAGAAAATGGGGCGCGACAGAATGGCGACTCTGCTGGGGATATTAGGTTCTTACCATTACGTGTTAATTGCTTATTTATGTGGGGTTTACTTTATTTTTGTCATTTCATTATTTTGTTAGGTGCTTACCATGTTTAGCTTATTTTGTTGCCTTATTTACTGTTTTCTCTCCATGTTCCATCCCTTTCCCTTTTCCTTAATTGTTTATTACCATGTTTCACATCTTCCATTTTCCCTTATTTGCTTAATTACATGTTTAATCCCATACCCTCTTTCTTTATTTGCATAGTTTTTATATCTTTATATGTTTAATTTCCTTTAATCCTTCTTATTTATCTATTTATTGTTTATAAAATGTGTATATGTTACCGCTTTCTAATTTAAATGCTAAATGTTTATTGCTTTGATAATTGGCATCCCGCTCATACTTCCCCCAATTGAGACTCTCTTCCTTTTTTTTATTTTGTTCTTGTGATGTTGTACCTTTGCACCTCTCTCTACAATTCCAATCCTATTCAAATACCCATTATAGAGAGTCGGCATATGTGTGGACGTAACGGATAGTTTTACTACTGCGAAGTCACGAGCCTCTCGTATAGAATCCCTTTCATGTCCGTGTCAAGCCAACTCTTAGAAGTCCTGGTTAAGTCATACATGCCGCATAAGCCCTAGGTGGTTTGACCCTTGGTGTCAATCCACATAATTAGTAGCCACCCTCTCGTCTAAAGGGCCCCAATACCCTTAGAAAATTGCATATTTATGTGTCAACGTGATCATAATAATTAAATCAAGCCAACGTTGTCAAAATAGAGTTTAGAAGTCGTTTGTTACTTTGTTTGCAGAGCCATGGCTCACCCTCACTTTCCCACCACGCAAATGGTGGTCAAAGTTAATCCCATTTTGAAGACTTGGTGGAAAGATATTCAAAAAAATCGAGAGTTAGAAGTAAATGAACTGTTAGGCGGCCTCACTGCTTTAATCTCCGTAGAGTCAGATTGTCATTTAATCAAGGCATTGTTGAAATTCTGGGACACTGAGAGGTTAGTCTTCAAATTCAAGGATTTTGAGTTAACCCCAACAATCAAAGAAGTTGGAGGATTCATGGGTCTCGCATACAAAGAGCTGAATTTCTTTAGAGTTCTTATATTCACGCTTTGGGGATGAGGAAGGTCATCAAAACTTTCATAGAGAATTTGCTTGCTCTTCTGCAAAATGGGAAAGGTATCGTCTTAATGCATTCGCCGTCGCCCTATTAGGCTCATTAGTTTTTCCTAGAGAAAGAGGAAAGATCCACACCGGCTTGTGTTGCATGGTTTGTATGTTGGCTTGAGGTGGATAAACCTTAGTCCCCATGATACTTGCAGAAATTCTAAGAGCTTTGACTGGATGCACCAAAGGCAAAAGATACTTTGAGGGGTGCAACTTTCTGCTGCAACTTTGGGCCGTCAAACATTTCTACCAAAGAGCTAATAAAGTAGACATTGTTAGAGGTACTATGGGGAACAAAATTATCAACCATCACCTAAGGATGAAATATTTTATCTCCCCTGTGGGAACGGAGGACTGGTTCACATACCTAAAGGAGAGCTCAGCCGTTGAAATCCAATGGAAGTATTATTGGTTGAAGCCACGACGTGCCATCATAAGAGGAAATGAACTTTACTTCATTGAGCTTATCGGTTTGAATGGTGTGCAACCATACGCACCACTTCGAGTCCTTCGACAATTCGAACAGATCCAAATGATACCTCTGCGATCCCACATGAGCCACTATGGATATGACTTTGGGTCAGAATTACCGCAAGTGAACACTATACTGCGAAGATGGAAGAATGTGATAACTATCGATGTTCAAGAGCACTCACCCTTCTGCACACTTGAATATTACGTATGGCTTTTAGAAGATGCAGAGCATAGAGATTTGAGCAAAGGAGGCCTTCCTGGCTTTGGCGATGAAAAAGAGAGAAGATGGGCTCGCAACCTCCTCAACATCGATTATGACATTACCCCAGAAATGAGGAAGCAGATTGTGCCTAACATTGGAGAGCAACATAATTAAAGTTTTTTTATTTATTTCTCTTTATTCCCCATGTGTTATTCTAGCCCTTTAGTTATCTCTAGATTGATGTAATAAATAGAAATTATTTCAATAATTGAAAGTCAGTTTATTGTCTAACTATAAACTCCAAATTGGCAAATAAGGCTTGAATTAATTATTATGCATCACTTATGTGTCGCTTAGGCCTACCTCTGGCTCAACGAGGTTTCGTGCATTTAGGGCGTTTGTCTCAAAACAATGTGTTGATATTATGATATTATCCTAACCCCTAACTCTTTTCTGTTGATTCTATTGTTTTCCCATTTCCCAAGGTTGATCTGTCCTTCATCCTGGCACATACACGATCAAAAGGGACCCCCCTTCTCCTTCTTCTCAAAGAGCAAGCTCCAAAGATAAAGGTAAAATGGTTAACAACAACAGCACCAATAAAAGGGTAGAAGCTTCTGAGGGAGGACAACTTCAAAATAATCTTGTCCTAAGACTTGAGCGCAAGATTTCACAATTGGAAGAAGAGGTAGCCCACATGCGTGATTTGGCCAAGTTGTCTATCTCTCTTGGAACCCAATTTGGAGAAAACATAGACAATCCTCCTAACAAAATAGCCATGCCAAACAATCCTCCAATCCATATATCCCTACCTGATCCCACTCGTCCAAATACCTTTCCACCACCCCACGCCCAAAATACCCAAGTTCCATTTCACCACTATTACCAACAAACCAAACCAACCTTCCCAGAAACAACCCCAAACACAAATATCCATATACTCTTGGAAACAACAACCTCAATCCAATATACGTGGAAACTGCCCCTCTGACCCATGACCTCCATGAATCAGAGTCCCATCAAAAAGACATCCTAATAAAAAACCTGACTGAGAGATTAGACAACTTGACCAACAGGGTACAACATGTTGAAGGAAATAAGAAGTTAGGAGGATTGAGCTATGAGGATCTGTGCATGCACCCTGATGTAGAACTGCCCGAAGGATACAAGCTTCCAAAATTTGAGATGTTCAATGGCATTGGGGATTCCAAATCCCACCTACGAATGTGTTGTGACAAACTTGTAGGGGTGGGAAGACATGAGAGGATACTCATGAAGTTGTTTATGAGGAATCTTACTGGGGAGGCCCTACCATGGTACATTGAGCAAGACTCGCGGAAATGGATAAAATGGGTTGATATGGCAACTGATTTCATGAATAGGTTTGGTTTTAATATTGAAAATGCACCTGATTGGTTTTTCATTCAATATTTGAAGAAGAAACCGAGTGAATCCTTCAGAGAATATGCCATAAGATGGAGGTCTGAAGCAGCTAGGGCCAGACCCCCTATGGAGGAATCTCAGATGAAAAACTATTTCATCCGTGCCCAAGAACCACAATACTATGACCGAATGATGCTGGTGGCTGAAAAGAGTTTCGCTGAAATCATCAAACTAGGTGAAAGAATTGAAGAAGGCATAAAGAATGGGACTATCATCAACTTTGAAGCTTTACAAGCAACCAACAAGGCTCTGCAATCTGGTGGAATGATAGAAAGAAAAAGAAAACAGGTTCTGTAATGATGGCTCATGGAACTAGGACCCCTTTGAGGCACAGGATAATAAACCCACCACCATCCCCATACCCTCAACATCCCTCAGCTCCACCCCCTATATCTCCCCAACCCATGCCAATATATTACCAAAACGCTCCTCCTCAATATTTGCATGCCTCATATCCTGTCTATAATGTTCAACCAACACATTTCCAAACTCCACCACCCACTCAAACGCCAAATTACCGAAACAGACCTTCCTATGAAAGAAGACCTACAAAAATCTATAACCCTTTGGCTGAACCCATAACACAACTTTATGAAAGACTGAAACAGGCTGGGTACGTCTCCCCAATTCCTGCATTACCTGTGGATGTTCGCGCAAAATGCTACGACCCTAACAAGGTCTGCGCCTACCATTCTGGGATGAAGGGTCACACCACCAAAGTTTGCAGAGCCGTTAAGGATAAGGTTCAAATGTTGATTGATACAAAAACCATCCAATTCAAGGATCCTACACCGAATGTTGCAAATAATACACTTCCCAACCATCAAGTCAACATGGTGGAAGCTGGTGATGTCTGGGATTGGAAAGAATCTATCTAGGCCGTCGAAATAGAAGAAGCCATGTCTACCACTGCCCAAGCACCACTAATAGTGCAAGGAATCGCCCCATTTGAAGTAGAAGTTGTTGCACCCATACAACCGTTCATTGTCTATAGGGCATCCTCCCCAATACAATGTGATACACATATTGTACCTTTGGATTACAACAAAAGAGAAATGAATGTGGAAGAGACAGATGTTGCAACAGGGGTCACCAGATCTGGAAGAATTTACACTTCTGAAAATTTAGTTCAGGGAAGCTCTAGAAAATCCAAAGCAACAGTCGTAGAGCTTGAAGATCAAGGTATTTGGAAAAAGGTTCAAGCTAAAGAATACTCTGTCCTTGAGCAGCTGAGTAAAACCTCATCCCAAATATCAATTCTGAAGTTACTGCAGTCTTCCGAAACTCATCGAAATGCCCTTCTGAAGATCTTTGGTGAAGCTTATGTCCCATCTAACATCACTCATGGAGAGGTATCCCAAATGGTGGGGCAGGTCTTTGAGGCTTACAAAATATCTTTTCACAAAGATGAGCTGCCACTCGAAGGAACAACTCACAATAAAGCTCTGTACATTTTAGTTCAGTATTTGGATAAGGTGATAAACAAAGCATTAGTTAATGCAGGTTTAGGTTTAAACATTTGCCCTCTGAGCACACTGACGAGGTTGGGCATGGATAGTGCAAAAATTCAGACATGGAAGATGAATGTGAGGGCATTTGATGGCTCTCAGAGAGGCACTATTGGGGAGATAACCTTGGACATGCTCATTGGTCCTGTCACTTTCCACATAGCTTTCCAAATTTTGGACATCCCTTCATCGTACAACTTATTATTGGGTCGTCCATGGATTCATATGGCTGGAGCGGTTCCATCTACTCTCCACCAATGCCTAAACTTTGAATTGGATTATGAAGAGGTTGTAGTCCATGGAGAAAAGGGGCATCCTGTATACACGATTGAAGGAAGAGAGAATATGGATGGTGAAATGTACCATACGGTGGAGCTTGTTGGTAATATTGAGTTGCAACCTTGGTTCAGCCAAAAAATCATAGATATGATGGCCTGGTAGGTTTCGAGCTTGGGAAAGGTTTGGGGGCTGAATTGCAAGGGATAGTCAAACCTATACAACCTGTTCGACATTCCACCACTTTTGGTTTGGGATATAAGTACGCTTCCGAAGAATGGGTCGATTGGCAACCACCTAGAGATGGGTACTACTATCCATTGAAGAAACCCATACCGCCATTGCATCAATCATTTCGATCAGCAGGTTTCATGGGAGGCAGTATTGATGAGATATCAGACGACTTGAAGGGGTTATCGCTAACCAAAGAAAAGGGGAAAGTTTGCAACGTCGTGATCAACGAGGAGGAGAAAGGGGGACCTAGTGGAAGCAAGGAAGCAAAGATCAGCGTCAGCAACTGGACCTCGACTCCATCCAGACCTCGTCGAGCATCTAGGTAGCCTTGGAAGATGTTTTTTTATTAAGTTTTAATTCAAATAAAAAGAGTTTTTAATAAACGTTTTAATTACCATCCCCTGTATTGCTTTCGAATGAGGACTTATGAAATTTTCATCTTTATTAAATAAAGTTCTTTTCCCCATTTTTTGTCTTATATTTAATTGTTCGCTATTTTTTTTTCTCACCAGCAAAATTCACTATAAAAATGTCGAATTTGAGACTATGGCATACAATGAGACTGCTCAACTTAATATTAATGACTTAGAAGAAGTCGAAGACAATGAGGTTCCCGAGGAGTTAATCAAAAGGGTTGAGGAATTCGAGGAAAAACCCAATCCAAACTTGGTAGAGACAGAAGTGGTGAATTTGGGAAATGCAGAGGTGACACATGAAACCCGAGTAAGCATCCATATGACAAAAGAAGACAACAGAGATTATACCGAGTTTCTCATAGAGAATAAGGATATTTTCGCGTGGTCCTACGCAGACATGACAGGTCTACGTACTTCAATCGTAGACCCTCGACTGCCCACTGATCCAGCATGTCCTCCGGTAAAACAGAAGTTGAGAAAATACAAGCCCGAGATGAGTCTGAAAATCAAAGAAGAAGTATCAAAGCAATTAGATGTTGGGATACTCCAAGTGACAGAATACCCAACTTGGCTTGCAAATGTCGTTCCAGTGCCTAAGAAAGACGGCAAGGTCAGAGTTTGCGTGGATTACCGAGATCTCAATAAAGATAGCCCTAACGACAACTTTCCCTTACCAAACATACACATACTGATTGACAATTGTGCTAAGCACGAAACTCAGTCATTCGTGGACTGCTTTGCCAGCTATCATCAAATTGAGATGCACAAAGATGACGCTGAGAAAACTTCCTTCATCACGCCGTGGGGCGTCTATAACTACAAGGTGATGCTTTTTGGATTAAAGAATGCTGGGGCTATGTACATGAGAGCAATGACTACTTTGTTTCATGACATGATCTATAAGGAAATTGAAGTTTATGTGGATGATGTCATCATCAAATCAAAGGAAAGTTCAAATCATCTGGAGGACTTATGGAAATTCATTGCCAGGCTACGCATGTACAATCTGAAAATGAATCCGGCAAAATGTGTCTTTGGTGTGCCTGCTGGTAACCTATTAGGTTTCATTGTCTGTCGTCGAGGTATAGAATTGGACCCATCGAAGATCAAAGCCATTCGTGACCTTCCCCCGCCAAAGAGCAAGAAGAAGGTAATGAATTTCTTAGGGCGACTTAATTACAGTAGTCGTTTCATAGCTTAGTATACTGTCATATGTGAACCTATCTTCAAGCTTTTCAAAAAGGGTGCTGCGGTGAAATGGACAAGCAAATGTCAACATGCATTTGACAAGATCAAAGACTATTTATCCAATCCTCCTGTGTTGGTTCCACCAGAGTCAGGTAGACCATTACTTTTGTATATTTCAGTATTGGATAATGCTTTCAGTTGCATCTTAGGACAACACGATGAAACAGGGAGGAAGGAGCAAGCAATATATTATATGAGCAAGAAGTTCACATCGTGCGAAGCCCGATACTCTCTATTAGAGCGTACCTGTTGTGCTCTAACATGGGTTGCCCAAAAGTTACGACATTACCTCTTATTGCATACTACTTATATGATTTCAAGGATGGATCCTTTGAAGTATATCTTTCAAAAGCCCATGCCCACAGGTAAACTGGCAAAATGGAAGATATTGTTGATCGAATTTGACATAGTGTATGTCACACAAAAAGCAGTGAAAGCACAGGCATTAGCAGACCACATGGCAGAGAATCCCGTGGACGATGATTACAGGCCGTTGAAGACCTACTTCCCAGATGAAGAGGTGGCCTTTGTGGGAGAGGACATTTCTGAAGAATATGATGGATGGAGAATGTTCTTTGATGGAGCTAAAAATCTGAACGGATCCGGCGTAGGGGCTGTTTTGATCTCACCCACTGGGCAACATTATCAAGTATCAGCAAAACTCAGATTCCTTTGCTCAAATAATATGGCCGAATACGAAGCCTGCATACTAGGTGTTCGACGGGCGATTGACTTGGATGTCCAAGAAATGCTAATAATAGGGGATTCAGACCTATTGATCCATTAGGTTCGGGGTGATTGGGCAACAAAAAATCAAAAGTTGTTACCATATTTGGAGTGCGTGCATAGGCTATGTAAAAGGTTTGTCAAAACAGAATTTAGACATGTACCAAGGGTCCAAAATGAATTCACAGATGCCTTAGCCACTCTGTTCTATGCTTCGACACCCTGATCACAATTACATCGATCCTCTTCACATTCACATACATGAACAACCAGCTTATTGTTTCCATGTTGAGGAAGAGCCAGATGCAAAGCCCTGGTATGATGACATTAGAGAATATTTGAAGAGTGGTGAATACACAGGAGATGCAACAAGTGTACAAAAGCGTACAATTCGAAGGTTAGCAACCCAATTCTTTTTAAGTGGGGAAATCCTCTATAGGAGAACTCCCGATTTGGGGCTGCTAAGATGCGTCGAAGCAAGAGAGGCTCGCAGGCTGGTCGAAGAGATACATGCAGGCACCTGTGGCCCTCACATTAAAGGTTTTACATTAGCAAAGAAGATTCTGAGATTAGGATATTATTGGCTAACTATGGAGACAGACTGCATTCGCTACGTCCAGAAATATCGTCAATTTCAGACTCATGCAGATATGATTCGAGTACCTCCCAACGAACTCCATGTCACTAGTTCACCTTGACCGTTCGCAGCATGGGGCATGGATGTCATTGGTCCAATCGAGCCAACAGCATCCAACGGGCACATATTCATTCTTATCGCAATTGACTATTTCACCAAGTGGGTTGAGGCCACCTCCCATAAATCAGTGACAAAGAAAGTTGTGGATGACTTTGTCAAAAATAACATTAGTTGTAGGTTTGGAATTCCTGAGTCAATCATCACCGACAACGGCACCAACCTAAACAGTGACCTAATGAGATCAATGTGTGAGAAGTTCAAGATCAATCATCGAAACTCTACAGCATACAGGCCACAGATGAACGGGGATGTTGAGGCAGCAAACAAAAACATCAAAAGGATATTGCGCAAGATGATCGATAATCACAAACACTGGCAGGAAAAGATACCTTTCGCATTGCTGGGGTATCGTACCACAATCAGAACTTCCACAGAGGCCACACCTTACTTCTTAGTATACGGCACTGAAGCTGTGATACCCACCAAGTAGAGATACCGTCCCTAAGGATCATCCAAGAAGAAAAGTTGAGTGATGCTTGGGCAGAAAAATTTGGCATTATAGATGGAAAAAGAATTAACGCCATTTGTCATGGTCAGCTCTATCAGAATAGAATGGCCAGAGCTTTCAAAAAGAAGGTTAAACCCAGACATTTCTCACCTGGGAAACTGGTTTTGAAACGGATTTTTCCAAATCAAGACGAGGCAAAGGGTAAATTTTCACCAAACTGGCAAGGTCCGTACATAGTCTCTCGAGTACTGACAGGCGGAGCCCTCATACTTGCAGAAATGGATGGAGAAGTTTGGCCAAAACCTATCAATTCAGATTATGTTAAAAAGTATTACATCTAGAGATTGATTCATGCTCTTTTGTAATTTGGAACTACGTCAGACCTGATTCCCGTTTAAGAGGGGATACGTAGGCGCTCCTATGGGGTTCGGTCTTATTATAAATAAAACTTTCATTTTCCCCTTTTTCTATTGATAACTGGGGCAGAGTTTTTCAGAGCATCTCAAAAATTCCATCAAGATTTCTCCTGGCACATCTTCATACTGGGGCAGAATTTTTGAGTAAACTCAAAAATTTCACCGAAAGTTTCTCCTCAACAAGCAGTCTGCTTACAACGAAGATCAAATGATAGCTCCACTTTTGAGTCAGACGTTGTAAAGTCTCAACCTATGCCATGGTCAAAGATTCGACATCAGCTTTTATTAAATGATGATTTCAAAATCTTTCAAAGTTTCCCCACCCACCTTTTAAAAAAAATCAGACGCTCGAAGAGGTGTGGATGGCAAGCCAGAGGAGCACGTTGCGCCAAATCATGGATACAGATCAACCTCCTCCCTTTAAACTAACTATTTTTTTCTTTGAATGTAGAAAATACAGGTACATATACAAAGGCAACTTCAACAATCAACATTACCACATTTGAGCCCGACAAATGACACTCGATCCCTCCAATAAGGCGTACGCCCAAGCTACTGTATGCCCTCAAGCAACTGTTGTGCTGACAAATTACATTATTCCCGATATTGCATCATTTGCACCTACTCCTGATATCGCACTATGCTCAAAGAACTACATCATTATATTATGCCCGAGAATGCTGAAACGCATCATTTCATGTGCTTGATATTGCATGTGCCCGAAGAAATGCATTATTGCATAAGCTCGATATTTCATGTGCCCGAATAAATACATCATCGCATATGCCCAATATTGACTTATGCTCGAAGAAATGCATTATTGCATGCGCTTGATATTTTATGTGCCTGAAGAAATACATCATTGCATGTGCCCGATATTGGATGTGCCCGAAGAAATGCATCATAACATATGCCCGATACTGCATGTGCTCGATATTACATTGTGCCCGAAGAAGTGCATCATTGCATTGTGCTCGATATTGCATGTGCCCGAAGAAATGCATCATCACATTATGCCCGAGACTGCATTGTGCCCGAAGTTTGCATAAGACAAGGATTGCATCGTGCTCGAAGTTTACATGTGCTCGAATCAAATCAAGTCATAAGTATCAATAGATGCCAAAAACAGATACACTCTCTTTACTCATTACTTATATTCCAAAGGCGTCATCCTCCAAAGGCGTCATCTTTCATGGCCTGAGGACTTATTTTATGCTTACCATGTCCCTAAGGTATCATAGTCTAAAGGAATCATCTTCATAGCCTGCGGACATCATATCATGGCCTAAGGGTTTAATTTCTGTCTATCATGATCCGAAGGTGTCATAGTCTAAAGGCGTCATTTTCATGGCCTACAGACAACATTTTCATGACCTGAGGATACACCCCGCATATCATGGCCCTAGACATCATAGCCTAAGACGTCATTTTTTCACGATCTTAAGGCAAAAATTCATGGTCAACATGGGAATTGCATCATGTTTACATTTACCATTTATTTTGATGTGTATGTTCTAATTACTCTATTTGGGCTATATTACAAGTTATAGATTTGAAAATTACAGACAAAGTCTCCTTTTGAACGGCTGTTCTCTTGTTTACAAACAAAGGCTCCGACAAATTCTTGGCTACTCGCACTATCGTTTCGCTACTCATCTATCATTCAAGCTACCATGAAGATATCTTCGGATTCAACTCGCCACTGTGACCTACTGTCTCTTCATCTAGGCTCGTCTGCCTTACAATGCGATATTTAGGCTCGTCCGCCTTACAATGCGACATCTAGGATCGTCCGCCTTACAATGCGACATCTAGGCTCGTCCGCCTTACAATGCGACTTCTAGGCTCGTCCGCCTTACAATGCGACATCTTGGCTCGTCCGCCTTACAATGTGACATCTAGGATCATCCGCCTTACAATAGGACATTTAGGCTCGTCCGCCTTAAAACGACATTTAGGTTTGTCCATCTTATAGGACATTTAGGCCGTCCACCTTAAAGGGACATTTAGTCTTGTCTACCTCATAGGACATTTATTCATCCGCTTTATAAGATATTTAGGCCGTCCGCCTTAAAATGACACTTAGGTTCGTCTGCCTTAAAATGACGTTTAGACTCTCCTTACAACCAGATATTTTCGTCTATATTATCATATCTTTATAGTATCAAATGCATTGGAGATGGGTTTCAATCCTTCAAGAAGTTAAAGACTATCAAGGTTTGCACTACGTCTCAAACATATACGCTTTTTATCACCTCTTGTCTATTTAGAACTCATATTTTATTATTATTGGTCATACTTTATCTATTTATAAGCTAACATTTTATCTATAATTTGTAGATATGATCGATCGCCCTTGATTACAATTATCATGCTATCCTCTATAACACCAATGACTCTATCAATTCTTTGCTACTCATACTCTGAACCGTGCTCAAAGGCTGATTACCTTATTCTATCATGCTGTTTTAGCCACTCTATCTCTCTTTTCTCGCTACTCTAATCTTATCCATTCAATTCGATATAGTGCCTTTCAAATACCTTAGTGCTCTTTCAATTTTAAGAGTTTCATTTGCTCTTGAATCTAGAACTACTCACGACCTGATTCTCGTATAACAAGAGATATGTAGGTGACCTAACACCAAAGTCTCGATCGTACCCTTTTTCAACTCTATATCGTTTCAATTGACCCCACTGACATCTGTCGTCGGTCGGACAAAATCGGCTACTAAGTCAACATTGTTTGCCTGACAATTCATTCTTCATTCTCAATCAACCAAGGGGCAGCTGTTGACACCCAATTTTGACCGACTTTTGACCATTTTAGGAATACTATTCGATTAAATATGTACTTTAAATTTTAGAATTTTTAGCCGACTTCGCTTGAAAATTATATGTTTTAGTATGTGTTACTTTATAAAGTTATCATAAATATTATTAAAATATTTTAAAATTATTAATGAATTTCAAATGTTAAAATTTAAATGATTTTCAATTATATAAAAATATTTTAATATATGTAGTATTTTAATTAAATAGTAATTCCTACACTTTCCTTAAATTTTAAATTCTATCCTATTCTGTCATAATTTCTTTCAATTCTAGCTACTCCAATTAAATTTTTATTATAATCATAGCCTCTCTTTCATTTCAATTCTAGCCATTTTAATTGCAATTGTAGCCATTCCATATTCAATCCAATCTGATTTCAATACATCTCATCTTTTAATCTCATCCATCTATTTTATTAATTGAATCCTAGTCTCTTATTTCAAATTAGATCAACGGTTGTGATTAAATCTTTTATTTTCTCAACACCAAAAGACCCCAAAACCTAAAATTCTAACCAATTCTTCTCCCTCCTCTTCCTCTCCAGCCGCCTCCCCTCTCCCTTCTCTCTCCCTCTCCTCCATTTTTTCCGGCGAAAGTCATCATCGTTG